TATGTGTGGTATGTGTATAGTATGTGGTGTGTGTATGTATGGTGTGTGTGTGTCTATGTGTATGTATGTATGGGGTGTGTGGTGTGTGTGTGTGTGTAGTGTGTAGTATGTGTGTGTGTATGGTGTGTGGTGTGTGTGTCTGTGGTGTATGTATGTATGTATATATGTATGGTGTGTGTATGTGTGTGTGTGTAGTATGTTGTGTGTGTGTGTACAGTATGTGTGTGGTATGTGTGTAGTGTGTGGCATGTGTGTGTGTATGGTGTATGTGTTTGTGTATGTGTGTGTGTATGTGTGTATGTATATATGTATGTGTGTATGATTTACGTGTGTGTGTGTGTGTGTGTGTGTGTGTGTGTATGGTGTGTGTGTGTAGGTCCCATGTAGATGCAGGGTATCTTTCTTCAGTCATTCTTCATCTTTTGTTTTGAGACAATCTGTCACTGAACCCAGCAGTCACTGAATTGGCTGGCCTGGGTGACCAGCAAGCCCCAGGGATCCTCCAGCCTCTGTCTTCTCAGAGTTGGAATCACAGATGTACACTGTCGCACCAAGCATGTCTCCACATAATGTGAAGCAGAATCTGACCCAAAGATCAAGACAGCAAAGGACAACAAAGTCTGAAGGCCAGGTTGCCAGGCCTCTTATCCTGCCCCAGCCACTCATCACATATCTGTAGGTTCCAGTGAAGTGTCAGCTTTTCAGCAGGGGCAGCCTGCTAGCTTCTGTGATGTAATGCAGGCAACTGTATAACCCAAACATCAGAGGTGTGATCTGCAGAGAAGCCACTGGGCAGCTAATAATTTCCTGCTCGCTGAGTGACCTCCAAAATTAATGATTTTGAAGTCAACGAAGAACAAATGCTGTGGTTTTGTTCTGGCAGATTGCCTGGCTCTGGGATTCTGCGGGGGACCAGGGGAGTTCTATTGCATAAGGCTTTTCTTTGGCAACAGCTCCTCCTGTCTTTGTGGCAAGTGTAGCCATCTCAAACCCCACTAATTTGCCCTGGTGTGTTCCTAAGGGGCTCCAGGTCTGGGAACACTCCAGCCTTGTGGTTCCTCTGATGCTTGATGACAAAGCTGTTGAAAGTATGCTTTAAACAGGTAAGAGGTACAGAGCACAGGGTTTGTCTTTGGTCCTCTTGTAGTGGTAAAGGAATCTGTGACGTGACCCAAAAGTCTTATCCAGTCCCAACACTGAGAGCTAACCGCTCGTGTAAATATCCCACCGTGCCATATCTGCTTGCATCGATGTATAGCTTTGCATGTATAGCTTTACTGATATAGGAGTCAAACTGAATTATTGAAGCTTGCTCCCTTCCTCTCATTTACTCTTCCTTCATCGTCACACACCCTTTGCTTGTTAGTCTTTGTTAATGTGCCACAACCTAGAGTCACCAGGGAAGAAGGAACAATGGAAGAACTGTCTCGATCATCTTGGCCTGCAGCCAAGTCTGTGAGTAATTAATTGCCCACCGTGGGTAGTATCATCCCTATGCAGGCTGTATTGCCCACCGTGGGTAGTATCATCCCTATGCAGGCTGTATAAGAAAATTAGCTGTGCCAAGCAGTGGTGGCACATGGGAAGCAAAGGCAGGTGGATCTCTGTGAGTTCAAGACTAGCCTGGTGTACAGAGAGAGCTCCAGCCCTGCTAAGGCTATATAAAGAGACCCTGTCTCAAGAAAAGAAAGTTAGCTAAGCATACACCTGAGCTCTAGCCAGTAAGCCGTGTTCTCCTGTGGTTTCTGCCTGAGCTCCTGCCCTACTTCCCGCAGCCATGGGCTGTGACTTGGAAGTATAAGCGAAATAAATCAGTTCCTCTCTAGGCTGCTTTTGGTCAGTGTTCAATTTTTTTTTTTTAGCTTTATTGATTTTTATGTGAACTGGTGTCCCCATGCCTGTGTCTGTGCACTATGTGTGTGTGGTGCCCATAGATGCCAGAAGAGGGCTCAGATCCCCTGGAACTAGAGTTATACAGAAATGATGTGGATGATGGAAATTGAACCAGGGTCCCATAGAAAGGCAGCCAAACCTCTTAGCAGTTGGGCAAACTCTCTAAATTCCAAGAATGTTTTAACACGGGAACAGAAGAGTAACTAGAACACACCCCAATATTTGTAGTGTCTACAGGTCTACACTGATTTCCCCTCCTTTATTCAGTTCTAAGAATGGTATATAGGGCCGTGCACATGAACTGCTAGGTGTTCACTCTCCCGAGCACCCCTGTCCCTGAATCTTCTTTAATTAACCACTGTTAAGGGCCAGTGATGCCGTTCAGTGGTAGAGCCTTTCTATCAGGCACAAGGCCTCAGCATTGTAGGAAAACAAACAAAAGGAAAATCGAGGTGAGTACACTTAGTCATTGAATGATCTACTTTTCCTTTTTAATCCCAATGTTCCAATGACTTGCACACTTGTGTGTGTGCGTGTGTGAGTGTGTGTGTGTGTGTGTGTATGCATGCATGGGTGTGATGGCTATTACTTATCTGTAAGGTCTGGGCCAGGGGCTCCAGGTTCTCGTATTCTAGAAATTGAATTTCTTTCTTTTTTCTTTAATGATATATTTATATACATAAGTACACTATTCCTCTCTTCAGACACACCAGAAGAGGACGTCAGACCCCATTGCAGATGGTTGTAAGCCACCATGTGGTTTCTGGGAAACCTCTGGAAGAGCTCTTAACCACTGAGCCATCTGTCCAGCCCTAGAAATTGAAATAAGGGTTCACAGATGTTGCAAAGTAGCAAGGAGACTATACAAAATAAGGCCATAGAAAGGACAGAGTGGGGGGCTGGCAAGATGGCTCAGTGGTTAAGAGCACTGACTGCTCTTCCAGAGGTCCTGAGTTCAATTCCCAGCAACCACATGGTGGCTCACAACCATCTGTAATGGGATCTGATGCCCTCTTCTGGTTTGTCTGAAAACAGCTACAGTGTACTCATGTAATACAATAATTAAAAAAAAAAATGACAGAGGGAGCTACAGAATGACAGAGGCCACATGAACAAGTATATGTAAGGGCCCAGCTTATCACTTGAGACTTCCTTATATGGGTTCAAGAGGAGGAGTTTGATTGCTAAGGGGTGTATTGAGGGTGACTCTGTTTTGATTGATAGATTATAGTTTTCTATCATGCATCTGATTTAATCAAAGCATATCCAGTTGAGCAGACATAAGATAGGGGATTCTATATGGTTTGCCTTATTATACATGCATGTTGCTGCCCCATGTGAGGAATCGCCCAGACCAGCCCACTTCCCTTGGGTTTTGGAATGTATTCCAGGACCTGTTTGAGTAGAAACCAGGCATCATAAGGGGGAACTAAGGAGACTAACTTATTTCCACAGTTTGAAGTAGGTTTATGTGCATGCTGATGCACTTGGGGACCCCAGAATGGCAACATGTTGCTAGGAGCATTATTAGATGATTTTGTATATAACCCAAGCCAAGTGGAGTGCCAGGTCTCAAAGCCATTCCCTATGCTTGCCTGCCTTAGAGCTGCTCATATTTTTTTCACCATCAGCCCAGGAGGCAAGAAACAGCACCTTTAATCCCAGCACTTGGGAGGCAGAGGCAGGTGGATCACTGTGAGTTTGAGGCCAGCCTGGTCTACAGAGTGAGTTCCAGGACAGCCAGGGCTACACAGAGAAACCCTGTCTCAAAAAACCAAAAAAAAAAAAAAAAACCACTTGTAATCTCAGGGTAGACTCAAACTTTTAATCCTCCTGCCTCAAATTCTACTTTGAAATTACTCCTAAGTCTAATTGACCCTCTGCTTCCTTCAGTTCAAGTGTTGGCAAGATAATCAACAGAATGTCATTTGCCCCAACTATTTGTTTATTGAGACAAGTTTGGAGTTTTGGTTGTCTAGAGCTAGCTCCATAGACCAGGCTGGCCTCAACTCAGAGGTCTGCCTGCCCCTGCCTCCCGGATGTTGGGATTAAACACTGCCCGCCCAACCAGTCCTGACTAAGGATGTACAAGCAGGCAAACTAGGTAATTTCTAGGGTCTCTCCTACCTCTGTATGGATGTCCTGGTCTGAATCATCCTTCAGAGAAGGTTCTAGATTATCCAGCTCTCTCTGGCTCTTTGCAGGTTCTAGGGGATTGACTGCAGGTGGGTGAGTCATTTACTTTTCCAGGATGATTTATTTATGTGTGAGCCATGTGTCTGTGTCTGAAACTCAACCATGCCCAGGGAGGTCAAAGCGGGTGTAATCCTCTGCAGCTGGCAGTTGTGACCCACCCAAGATGGTGCATGGTTTCAAACCCCAGTCCTCTGCAAGAGCAGTGCTCTTAACCACTGTGCATTTTCTCCAACAGTTTTTAAAAGTCACAAACCCCAGTAGATCATCCTTATTAATCCTATCTTATAGATGAGGTGACTCAGGTCCAACAGGGTGGGGGTGGCCCTTGGTATACACAGCTAAAAGCTGCTGGGTTTGGGTTTAAGTTCACATTCATAAACTGACCTTTTCACAAAGGAACTCAAGAGAAGGCTATGACCCAGAGTTGTGGAGACGACCAAAAGCCACTCAGTGAGTTAAAAGGTAGAAGACTTCAGCCTGAGACAGGGATCGAGTCAAAATTCTGAGAGTAAGGTTTTTTCCTAGCGGGAGACCATGGTGCTTCCCCATGCCCAAGAGAATAATCTTCATGATTTAAGAATGGAGGGAGACTGAAGAGGTGGCTCAATTGGCTGCTCTCCTAGAGGATCTGGGTTCAATTCTCAGCACCTACATGCAGCTCACAACCATCTATAACTCCAGTTGCAGGAGATGCTTTCTTGGGCACCATTTACATTAAATTAAAACAAGACTGGAACTATTGGTTTAAAGGTAACTTCTATTCAAGCTGACATGTTGAAACCAGGATTCTTGGGACATTAATGGAAAACTCCAAATGGTAGAGTCTTCAGGTGTTTGCATGGGGCTTGGACACGGTCTCAACTACCAAGTGGAGATCAGGAAGTTAATAAAGTACCCAGCACAAAAGCAGGTCTCATTAGCAATTTACATTTATTTGCTGACAGCTGTAGTCAAACACACTTTAAACACAGCAGAAGTTAGAGTCTGTTTGTTCAGTGGAGCCATTGCTTGCTAACATACTGGTGGTCCATGAAGAGTAACTTGAAACTCATCCTTAGGCAAATGGCGGACAGGTGACTGCTTCTTCTGGCTCCAAGGGGCAGGGGTCACTCCTTGTTCTCGTACTTGTGCTTTACATGTTTCCACAGTTTCTGCATTTAAAACACGGGGCAGTTTATGGTTAACCTTTGCCCTCACATGTTACAACTACTCTCGCTGTCCAAAGAAAAGAATATTGAAAAATCAGTGTCAAACTGATTAAAAATGTAGTTGTGCTAGGCAGTGGTGGAGCACACTTTTGACCCAGCATTTGGGAGGCAGAGGCAAGTGGTTCTCTGAATTCCAGGTCAGCCTGGTCTACAGATTGGGTTCTAAGACAGCCAGGACTACACAGAGAAACCCTGTCTGAAAAAACAAAACCCAAATCAAAACACACAAACAAAAAAAGCAACATAAAAAACCACTCATACTCCATTAACCATGTTAAGTGGGAAGGGAAACTAGCACTTTTATAAAAAATTAAGGTAGGTTGCAAGAATGGTCCCAAATTCTCAACTATTAAAAAACAGCACCTAGAAAATGCCTAGGCTCCCCAAAATTTCAGCCACTTGTTATTCTTCAGACCTAAATTGATTACAATCCTCATTCCTAGAAACATGGGAAAATGGGTGAATTCTGACAATGTACTTAAGACAACTTTTGATACCTGGAAATGCTTATAAAAGATCAGAGTGGCAACACTTTCATATGGGCAGGAAGCTACCCCACCAGTGAAAATATGGCAACTAGTAGATAGCCTTTCTGGCTTGTGGGTCAGAAAGCCCTGAGGAGGCTGGAGAGATGGCTCAGTGGCTAACAGCACTCTGGCTGCTCTTCCAGAGGACCTGGGTTCAGTTCCTAGCACTCATATGATGGATGGCTCAAAACTATCTGTAACTCCAGTCCCAGGGGATCAACCATTCTCTTCTGACCTTCCTGGGCACCAGACACATACAGTGCAGATACACATGCAGGCAAAACACATGCATATAAAATTAAAACAATAAAATTTAAAAACAAATCAAAAAAGGTAAGAAAGGAAGGAAGGTAGGAGGAAGGAAAAATCAATGGAGGAGCTGGTCGGTGGTGGTGCAGGCCTTTATCCCAGCACTCAGGAGGCAGAGGCAGGAGGTTGAGTCTGAGGCCAAGCCTGGTCTACAGATCTAGCTCCAGGACAGCAAGAGCTACACAGAGAAACCCTGTCTCAAGAAACTAAAAAGAAACCAGTCGATGAGCATGCTGGCCATCAATAGCATGCCTTTCCCAATACAGTCATAATCCCGTGACATAAAACATGCACAGAATGTGGAACGGTTAGGTCAAAGAGGGTTCGCCATTTCCTACTTTACATTCCCACATTCTCTTAAGACGTGCATCGAAAGCTATTTTTCAGTGGTATCGTCAAGTATGAACGGCAGCACCTCATCTGTATCCCAAGATCTTTGACCTATGATCTTTATTCAATACCACGGTTAAGTAGAAAGTTCCAGTATTGCCAGCTAGGGCTTGAGATTTCATAGCCTCTACCCTGCATGGGCGGCCTTGGGAACTGAAACTTCAATTTTAAAACTTCAGCCACATAGTCTAAGAAGACCTACTTCTAACGACTGCCCTGCTGAAATCTGCCCTTGAAACTATCAAGGGTGGCAGGGGTCAGAGTTCCAACTCACCACCGACTTATGGAGCGGTTCAGACCCGTAAGTCTCTGATCTCTCAGGAATTAGCTTTTGCAAATGAATATGTGGAACAACTGTGCGACAGGACATACCAATACTCCCACCACCTGCAAGGTGGTGTCAATGGGAGACTTGGGGACTCACACCATGTCAAGCGAACTAAATGTATCAACAGACACAGTTCATCCCAGTCCTGGTAAGACCTGAGTTCCGTCCTCCCTCCCTCCCAGTCACCCTTCAGGCAGGCCCAAGGTCAGGATGGCCCAGGCCCTCACCCCCTCGTTGATGTGCTCGTAGATCGCGTCTGCACCCTGATCGAAGGCGCGCTCGAAGAACAGGGCGCCCACTACGATGGTGAGGGCGAAGGTAGAAGTCCTGCGGAACAGCATGGAGTACAGACGCGAAAAGACCGTCGGCGAAGACATGTTGCCTCACTGCCGAACTCGCGCCACTGCGCCTGCGTAGAGCCCAAAGTCTCACTCCAAAAGTTTCAACGCGCACTGCTTTGTGGGACTTGTAGTTTCTCTTTATCTTAGAGTCGACGTTTAGAAAAATTAAATAAACTGATAACAGATTATTACACAGGATAACAGATTATTACAATGTTCCTATTCCATACAGCCAAAGTTTGATGACTTATTACCCAGTTTTTCTCCTCAATCATTTCTTGAGTTTGTCAATTTTGAACTACAATTCCCGAAAGCCCTTGGGCTTACCCATCTTCCCTAGCGCTGTTTCGCCTTAGCATTCCGCTTTCTCGGAACCTTAGGAAGGACTACGAATCCCAGCGAGCAGAGCGTGACGCGAGGACACAAGAGGAGGAGCCCGGAGCCGTCTAGCCGCGGAACCAGGTATCTTTGGCCAGACGTCCACGTCTAAGTTTTAAGCTCTTTTCCTAGTCAGGAGAGCAGGCTCTTCATTCTAAGTCCACGCCATCAGCATTTTCTGGCGTGGGGAGTGGTTAGAGAGGCGAGAGGACCTGAGTTTCTGTGGCTTCATCTCGCCGCTCTGCCAAATCTCCTCTGAATGTACTCCAGGTGTAGGCTTGGAGGTGGCAAAAGTCGGGTCCTGGAGTTCTAACTCTTCAGCCACGCCTCGGGAAAAAGTGGCTTTGCCCTTGCTTCCTATTCTCCAGATCGTAGGCTTTGAAGCCAAGAACCCTAGTCTCGAAGGCGGGTGACCTGACTGTAAAAGGCACCCTACAAATACTTTTCTGAGGATCCCTTCTGGGTCTTGAGATGGTCCCCAGTAGATGAAAGGTCCCAGCTCTCTCATGGAACGCTCTGGTCGTGGTGTGTGGGCAGTGGGGACGCTCAGCGCTTCTGGAAGCTAGTACTTTGTAAAAGAGAAAACCCAAATGTTTGGACAGGTTGGTAGCTCTTTAAATCTGAGTAGCCGCTTAATGGAGGACTGAATAAATTGTAGCAGGGTAAACAGGATAATGTTTGTGCAAAGTTTTAGAGGCACTGCTGGGGTGCTTGATCAAGTGTAGAGTGGCCTTTAATGAATAGGTGGCCTGAAGTCATCTCTAGTCTGGCCTTGAACCCCTGGTAAGGAGTCGTTTATTTTTTTCTTAATTGCACTAGGGAGTCACTGAAGGGTTTTAAGCTGGAATGTAACAAGGTCCAATTTACATTTTAATGTTATCTTTCTGGCTTCTTGCTAGAGCCTAAACTGACAGCAAGCTATCAGAGGTGTGCAAGAAAGAGGAATTAAGAGGCAGGCTTGATTGTAGGTACCTTTAGTGTCAGCACTCTAGAGGCAGGTGGGTCTCTGAGTTCAAGATCAGCCTGGTTTATAGATTCCAGGACAACCAGGGCTACACGGAGAAACCCTGTCCTGAAAAACCAAACCAACCAACCAACCAAACAAACAAACAAACAAAAAAGGAATTAACATCTAGAGATAAACTAAGGTTTGACTATAGGGACTAAATGGTTTATGTTTGTTTGTTTTGAGACAAGGTTTAGAGACACTTGCTCAGGCTTTCCTGGAACCAACTACATAAATTAGCCTGAACTGGTAATCCTCCTGCCTCTATCTCTGGAAGGCTGAAATTCTAGACAAGCACTATCATGCCTCGTCTGTAAATTGTGTGTTTAAAGATTTGTTTTTGGTTATTTTAGATTATACATATGTATGGGGTGGAGGTGATGGGGTGAGACGTGCGCCTGAATGGCAATACCCACAGAATCCAGAAGAGGGCATGGCATCCCCTGGAGCTGGAGTTGGAGGTTGTGAGTTATCAAGTGTGGGTTCTGGGAACCAAACTCAGGTCCTCTCTTAGAGTATTACATGCTCTTAACATGATCTCCAGCTCTGTAAGTTGTGTTTCCTGTGAGTTGTCCCTTAGATATGAAGTAGAAACATCTAGAACAAATGGGGCTATGATTCTGAAGTTCAGAGGATCAGACAGATCCTGGGATAAGGACTACAAACTGGACATGATGGCATAGGACTATGATCCCAGCACTTTGGAGGTGGAGGCAGGAACAGAAGTTCAAAGTTATCCTTGGCTACATAGTGTTTGAGACTGGCCTGGGCTGCATGAGCACCTTCTCTTAATTAATTAATTAGTTAAATAAAACCCAGAACTGATTTCTAGGCCTAACAGGAAGTGGTGAGCCTGCAGGGAAAGACTACATAAGCTTTGTTGAGTATCGACAAGAGACCTACAACAACCATCAACCAGTTTGGTTGATGGCAAGTTAGTTCAGAGGACAGGGAATTAAAGATGTGGCTTGTTTTGACTTAACTTTTATGTTTAAAAGATTATTTTTAAAAGATTTATTGCCAGGCAGTGGTGGCGCACACCTTTAATCCCAGCACTTGGGAGGCAGATGGATTTCTGAGTTCGAGGCCAGCCTGGTGTACAGGGTGAGTTCCAGGACAGCCAGGGCTACACAGAGAAACCCTGTCTTGAAAAAACAAACAAACAAAAAAACCCAAACAAAGAAACAAAAAAGATTTATTATTTTTATCTTATGTGTGTGTTTTCTCTGCATATATATATATATATATATATATATATAAAAAAAGAGAGAGAGAGAGAGAGAGAGAGAGAGAGAGAGAGAGAAAGTTATGGAGAATTGTGAGCTGCCATGGGGGTACTGGGGCTCAGATCCTCTGCAAGAAAAACAAGTACTTTTAACTACTGGGCCATCTCCAAGCTTCATTGTTGATCATTGCTGTTGTCGTTATTTTTATGTTATTATTTTGCTTTTATTTCAAAACAAGGTTTCTCTGTGTAGTCCTTGCTGTCCTGGAACTCACTTTGTAGACCAAACTGACAAAGATCTGCCTGCTTCTGCTTCCCAAGTGCTAGGATTAAAGGCGTGTACTGCCACCACTGGGATCCATATTATTTTTGAGACAAGGTTTTACTATAGAATTCTGGCAGACCTGGCAGCAATTTACTTTGCTCTGTGAAACCATGCTGGCCTCTACCTCAGAGGCTGATGTGCCTCCGAGGCCTCTCGTGTGCTGGGAGTAAAGGCATGGGCCATCATACCCAGAGAGCTCTTACTTATTTAAATAGGTTTGTTTGTTGAAATAGGTTCTCAACGTGTGGGTCAAGACTTCTTTGAGTCAAATGGCCTCTTTACTGCCTGAGACCATTGGAAAATGTAGATGTTTACATTATGATTCATAACAGTAACAACATTACAGATAAGAAATAGCAATGAAAATAATTTTATGCTTGGGGGTCACCACAACATAAGGAACTGTATTGAAGGATGGGGCATTAGTGAGGTTGAGAACCACTGACTAAGGTCTCTTCTACATAGTCCTGGCTGTCCTGGAACTCACTCTGTAGACCAGGCTGGCCTCAGCTCACAGAGATCCATCTGCCTTTGCCTCCCTATTGCTAGGCTTAAAGGCATGCACCATCATGCCCAGCTTTAATTTTATTTTTTAATCTTTCAAGTTAAAATTTCAATTTTTAAGGGACTGGAGAGATGACTCAGTGGTTAAGAGCACTGGCTGCTCTTCTGGAGGACCTGGGTCCAATTCTCAGCACCCACACGGTAGCTTATAGTTGTCTGTAGCCTCAGATCCAGGAGATCTGACTCCCTCATTTAGACATATGTGCAGGCAAAACACCAATGCACATAAAATAAAAATTTTAAACATAAAATAAAACATTAGTTTTTTCATATTTAGTAACATTTTTAAATACTGGGCATGGTGGCACATCCCTTTAGTCCCAGTAGTTAAGAGGTAGATGAGATTGAGGCTAACCTGAGCTACATAGCAAGTTTTAGACCAGCCAGGACTATATAGTGAGACCCAGTCTTAATTTTTTTTTTTTTAAAGCCAGGTGGTAGTGGTATATACCTTTGATCCCAGTACTTGGTAGGTAGATGCAGGTAGATCTCTGAATTCCAGGCCAGCCTGGTCTACAGAGCTAGTTCCAGGTCAGCCAGGGCTACACAGAGAAACCTTGTCTTGGGGAAAATGAAATTTGTTTTGTAACGTAATTGTTGAGGCAGGCATCGTGGAGCTTAGCTGTAATCCCAGCACTCTGGGGGGCTAAAGCAGAAATAATGAAAGTTTGAGGCCACCCCTAGGCTATGGAGTGAGACTGTGTCTCAGTGGGGAAAAATCTTCAGTGTTCTCCATCAGATTTTAGGGAAATAAGAAAAATGACCTTAACTTTTTTCTGATTAATTTCTGAACTCAAGTTGAACAAACTAAATTTCTCTAGACACTCAGTCCTACTTACAGTTTAATTACAATCCCTCAAACATTTAACTCCATTTATAATTTTAATATATTTGATTTTCTTTTTAAGTACTTGGGATGTATAACCTAAGAAGCTCAATTTCCCCAAGGGTTCTTAGTTACCAGCAAATCTAATTAATTAAGCTTATACTGAATTTAAATTTCTTGCAAACAATTCAATACTTTTTAAAATTGATTGTGCATAGGGATAGAATTCATAAACACATTCTCATACAAGCTTGTTACGTACTCCTTCCCTTTCCTACTATTTCCAAACACACGTATAGTCTTGCTTTTGCTTTCATACTTTATGTGCATATATAATTTTTATGTATATGTATAAAATCTAGGCCTTACAGATGGAATATGATAATTGTTTTTCTGAGTCTGACTCACTTCCCTTAAAATGATGCTCTCGGTTGCATCCATCTCCTGTAAGTGACATAATTTGTTCTTTATGGTAAAATTCCATTATGTCTATGTCCCCTTTCCTAATCCACTTGTCTGCTGATGGGCACCCAGGCTAATCCCACTGCGTGACTCTCGTGGCTAGTGTGGCAGTCCACATGTGTGCAGGCGTCTGTGGTGTGTTGATAACATCCTTCAGGTGTTACCTGAGCAGTGTGGCTGATCGTATGCTAACTGTATGTCAGTTTTGTTAAGAGCCACCATGCTGGCTTCTACAGTGGCTGGGCTAACAGACACTCCTACAGCTGTGTATAGAG